TCAGTAATGCAATTGCGTAGCAGCTCTGTACTATAGAGGAAAATTTATACGTGTCAGTTACATATTTGAAAGTGTTGGCAAGTGGCAGTCAACTGTTGGTTGTGGTGAGGTACTGGAGTACTGGAACAGGCTGCCCAGAGAGGTTGTGGATGCCCCATCCCTGGAAGTGTTCAAGGCCAGATTGGATGGGGCCCTGGGCATCCTGGTCTAGCATTAAATGAGGAAGTTGGTGGCCCTGCCTGCGGCAGGGGGGTTGGAGATTCGTGATCCTTGAGGTCCCTTCCAACCCTGGCCATTCTGTGATTCTGTGATTCTGTGATTCTGTGATTCTGTGATTCTGTGATTCTGTGATTCTGTGATTCTGTGATGTGGTAAATAGACACAGCTTTCAGAAGATAGTAGCATATTTTTGTAAATCTGTTGTGTACCACTATCATGCTAGTGACCGGTCACTAATCCTTGCTTGCATTTAAAAGTTAATTTGGGCTGAAGTAAGAATGGTGCTTATGAATTATATGGAGACTTGTATAGAACGGTATCAATGAGACCAAAACATCAAGTATTTGTGACTGAATTCAGATATTAATTTAGTATTTGCTTATGGCTACATGCTAATGAATGAATTCTGGCAGCATCGCACACTATGAATATTCTGTATGCACTGGAAATTAAGATGGCACTTAACTATTTGCAGCTTTTTAGTTAATGTCTTATAACAGCCTATGATACTGAAAACAGAAAGTCATGCTTAGAATTAAATTTTATCAAACATACCTGTTTACTCAATACTGGTTTATGAGATATCTGAATCTGCTGTGGTTTTTTTCCTCAGGGAGGTTTCTCTATGTTCATTCAATTGATGCCTGTTATAGTGCTGATCCTTGTCTCCTTGTTGAGCCAGCTGATGGTATCTAACCCTCCTTATGCCTTATACCCAAGATCGTAAGTAATGTTCAATTACCTTCATTTTAAACAGGGAAGGATGTTGTAACCATGCTTTCCCAGTTAGAAGCATTTTAGGGAGTCTTCCATTAGTTGGTCCTGTTTCCTACAGCGAGGGAACAGAGGGAAAGTGTAGATGAAGCTGAAATGGAGCAAAACAAAACTTTTAAGGTTAGTGCTAAGAACATGCTGTGCAAATGTAGCAGAGAAAAGAGGTCAGCAGTGCCTGAGTTTAGCACATCTTTTAGTATGAGGCAAAGGTGTTTGCATTTCCTGTGTATTTAATCAAATCCTGAAAACTGCTGAGGCTCATTATTCTTTTAGGGGTCATCTAGGCTTATAGCAAGCAAACTGCTTGAAGAGAACTTTCCTGTTCTTGTTCAAGTTTTGAACTAGATAAGAGCTAGAGAAACTGTCTGTTCCAGATGATGATAAAATAGTATATCTCTGTTTTCTCTCAAAGGATTCTGATAGTGAAATGTAGCTGTTTTGTACAGAAGGATATGTGTGTTTTTATCTTAAAGAAAGTAACTTGTGAAGATATCAAGCATGCAGTTAGCTAGCAGACTCAGTCCACGCACAACTGTTTTAATGGTCCTCAGTTCCTTCTAGAGTTCTCATCCCCACAATAAAAGGCTTCTTTTCTCTTTTGTTATTTTTCACAGTTCTTTATTTCCAGAATATGATGTTCTCTCTTCTGCATCTAAGCTATTATGATGCATATTAACACTTATCTGCCAAAATGTTTATGGGCAGTCCTTGATTTTTAATTCTCAGGATGCCAGCAGGAAAATGGATTTGTCATGGATTGCAGAAGACACATTGGAATGGAGATGCCTATATTGGATTGTCACTTGTTTTTTGTTGGCTTCTTTTTCTGTTGAGTTGGAATGAAATTTTCTGTTATCAAAGCTTACATGTGTCTAAAGGGGTATGAAATCTTTCTAAGTTGTTTTTTTCAAGATTAAGTGTAAAAACACCAAAATTTTAATGTTTGGGTAAAGGTAGTAGTTTTCTTCTCTGGAAGATTATACAGCCATTCATTTCAGTATTTATCTTGAAATGGCAAATTCAGTGATGTGCTGGTGTTCTTCTGTAATAGCAATATGTTTTAAAAGTGAATTTGTGGTATAAAAAATCAAATATCTAATCTCTCCCTACCTCCTTTCTTGGCAGGAGTACAAGGCAGACTATTAAAATGCAGACAGAAAATCTGGGTGTTGTTTATTATGTCAACAAGGACTTTCGAAATGAATATAAAGGAGCATCATTACAGAAAGTGGAAAAGAGTGTGGAAGAGGATTATGTGTCCAACATTCGTAATAACTGCTGGAAGGAGAGGCAGCAAAGTAAGTCTAGTAATTTCATGAAATAATGTATTATTACATATTTAAAAAAAAAAAAAAAAAAAGATTGTCTCAGGCAAGAATTGAGTATTTGTATTATTCATATATCTGGACAAGAAAACAAGGGAAAGGTTCCCTACTGTTTCTCACTTCTTGAGGTGTCCCAGCTAGTGTCACCTAATTTTGCTGTCATTTATTCAGTGATCAAACAACCATCTGCAAGTCATCAGCTATTTTAACCTGTTATCTGTGATGATTTCTTAGAAAACTAACAACTGCAGTGAAATGATAATGAGAAATAAATTGTTATAAGTTAAGGACGAGAGCTTAGAATTCTTTCACATTATTTTATCATGCCATTATCTTTAGTACTGTATATCATCCTGGGTGCTTTCAGATAAATAAAATGAAAGCTCATGTAGATACTTCCAGAGAGGGAGAAAATAATCTGCCTTGGACAGTGGTACAAATAAACACTTTTCCAAGCAACCAAGGACACCCAGTATGTAAAACATTGTAACCTAAAGATCAGTGCTTAATCTTTTGCCAGTGCTACATGGGTCCTTAGCTGTATAATCTTTGAAAACAGTCTTAGCTTATCAGATGTGGTGCCATTCTAGTTTAATATTATATGAGGAGCTATTTTCTTGCAGGAGAGGCAGCCTGGAATTTGATATTAAAGCATAAGGATACTGAATAGCATCTGCCATCTCCAAATTATCAGCAATTTTAACCAGTTATTATATCATCTGTGACCAAATAGCTTGAATTATGATGTATTATTTCAGTATTACCTTACTAGGAAAAAAAATAATTCGTGAACTGTCAGTCACTGACCGACTGCAAATTTCACTCATTCTCTGAGTGAAATTGTGTGTTACTGCATAGCTTTAATTTTTGCAACCAGAAATGCCAAGCCTGTCAGCTCAGGCAGCACCACCTTAGCTTCTCCCAGTTGTAAAAGACAGACACTTACAGCTAGTCACATGCCTGGACAGGGCTGCATGCATTCATTACAATTGATCTGTATAGATACAAATATGAACTGTGCCCATGCACAGCAGACAGCCTGCTTCCCACAGGCATTATGCTCTTACTCATGCGGACATGCTGCTTTTGCATAAGATATTTCCGACTAGATTGTCCTTTGATCATCCTGAAATGTTTGAATATTCTCACTCTTCAAAAAATGAATGCCTCATTTTTCATCTACAGGTGGTTGCTAAATGAATGATTGATAGTCATATGTAATGAAAGGTTTTTCAAAAATGAGTGGTGTTTACTAACAAAAAAAAAAAAAAAAAGGAAACATGAGACATAAACCAGCATAATAAAAGGAGGAGGACATATGCTTTGTGTATTTTTTCAACATAGTGTGGACCAAGAAGAGAAGTTTACGTTTAGTGACCTAGTTATTATACAGAGATTTTACTGGTATATGGTATTTTGGGTTTCCTGTCTTATGTCTGCCATATTTTCTGTCCAGATATCTTTGAAAAGGTAAATGTTTAGCTGATATGCCATTTCCACTGAGGAAGGAAAAATACCTTTCCCATTTTTCATCATTTGGTCTTGAGTTGCTTACTTTGAGTATGAGCAAAGTCCTTGTCAATGCAAAGAGCCCTACCTTTCCACATGTAAATACATAATGGGAGATTTAATGACTGGAGAAGCATCTCACTCTAGTGTAAAGAACAACCACTGCCTGAAAGTGGTGACTGTCACATTGTTTGCTATTTGCAATTTATCAGAATGTGATAATTACCCAAACTGATGTCTAAGAAAGCTATCCCAATAGATTTTCTGTATATATAGAAACAACTGACATATTTGTGCAGATTTAAAATACTTACTGTGTTTTGAATTTTTTTGACAGTTAGAATCTTCTTTCCAGTGTTGATTGATGCTCCGGAATGAATTAAAATGCTCAGCAATGTCAAGCTGTTGAACATCAGTATAATACAGAGCTCTTAATAATACCTATGAACGCTGGCATCTGAAGCAGCATCTATTGAAGTAATAGGCTTAACATTCAGAATGAATTGTGAGGCACAGACAAGATGCTAGAGCTTTCAGTAACATGCAAAATGATGCAAGTGGTTGTTTTTTGTTCTATAATCAGGTACTGCTGTATGAAATATGAGGGTGCTGGAAGGTTGTTACTACTGTGACTGCTAGAAAAGATGAAATGCTTGTGAAGACACAGTGAAGGGAAACCTGTAGTGCTGCTGTATAGATGGTTTCTGTGGGTAGTTAGAATAGAGAGAAAGAGAAAAGGGTGAGGATTAATCCTGAGTTGCTCTGGACTGCCCTGAGAAGGAATGCAAAGCATGTGCAAAGCATTCAGTTTTAAACCTGAAAAATGTCTTCTCTTTTTTTTTTTTGTAAAGAAACGGAGTTACTTCATGCATCAAAAGTTTATCGAGATGATCGTCTCCGAAAGAAAGCAGACTCCATGTCCATGGAAAACTGCAAAGAACTAGAACGTTTGACCAGCCTCTATCGAGGAGGATGACCTACAGTTATACATCTTTCGTATGCCATTATCTCTCTTGTAAATTAAGAAGAGATTTAGTTTCACCATGAATGCTGGAAAAGAGGGGTGGATGTAAAACTCTACTGTGTAGCTGTTTCCAGAAACCTTAAGCTGAAATATCATGTAATGGCTTCTTTACCTACTGTGAAATATAGGTAACTTTAATTGTCTAGATTTTACTTCGAAGCTTCTGTGAATTCTTTCAGCAGAGAGAATAGCTTAGAAAGGATGCTATACTTGTAGAAACTTAGTCATAGTGGTTCTCCTCTAACATATTTGCCATGTAAATATCTGTGGAAAGAACATTTTGTGTATATACGAGTTAAATGACTTTCTATTTAAAATCTCAGAAATTTAGTTCCATACAACATTTTGTCTCACTAATGGAATAAATAGTATGATTACATCACTCCTATTCAGATGTCAAGTGTGTGGAGTTGAAATGAGAATTTTTAATATTTTATCTTTAACTCTGTGTGAAATCTTCTAGGCCTGCCAGCTTAGAGGAACTTGGTATTTTTAAATATAATGGCATATATTCCTAATTATCTGTTGGGATGCATTGATCTGGTGTAGAGTAGCAGTCAGTTGTTGTAGTTTTTTTAGTGTTTCTAAGCAATGCTGAGAAAACTAAGAACTACACTAACTTCTTTTCCAAGTAAATATTCTATGATTTGCAAATTCTGTACTGAACATTGTAAGCATTGCTTTTAGTACTTGCAGCAGTTTACAGCAGCTCTATCATTTGGTATTCCAGTACTAGTAAATCCATACATATGGCTAACATGCATATAGCTTCTGTAATTTTCACTGGAAAGACAGAAGAAAAACATGAAGGAAAAAAAAAAAGCAACCTTTTTTTTTTTTTTCCTGGGAATCTTCCATTTTCTTGCTATGTTTTTATTTCAAGCTGGATCCTAACAGTGATTTGTCAATGGGACCACAAGTGGAGCAGAGAAGTACTGCTAAGGACAAACTTTGTGTCTTTCAACTCTTTGGCCAGTCGTTTAAATGCTTACTGGCTTGTGGTATGCTCCTGTGGTCAGAGCCATATCACTTGTTCGAGCCTGGAAGTAGAGGAGAAGGTAGAGTATGCATTTCTTTGGACCTGAATGTCGCTGGATTGATTTCCTAGAAGTGAGCAAACATACTGTCTGGTTCCTACATCCAGCGTCACGTAACTCAGTGCCTGCAGCATGGAAGCGATGTGTAGCCAGACCTCATAATGCAAACAGAGGTCTTTTGAAGCAGTTATGTACAATGTACTTAAAGCCTGTTGCAAGTGAGTTGAAAATGTTGGTGTGTTTTTGGTTTTACATTTTAACAGTGCTATGCAAGAGAATGTTTTCCTATGTTTGAGAATGCTAGATGGCTCGTTGTAAGGGCATTATTTTTTGCTTAAGAAAACTGCCATCTTTGAACAATGTGCTTGGTTTATGTGGAGCCAAATTCACCTCCTGAATTGAAGGTTGAAATACTTGCCTGAAACAGTGGAACTCCTTCATATCAAGGCTTGTCAGTTGAGAGCAGTATTCAACTTCAGAAATACACTACAAGCCATCGCTCTTCGTGATCCAAAAGTCAGTTTGCATGTGTACCTTTTCTAAACTGTCCCACTGGAAATGCCTTCTGTTGGATTAGTTGGGTGGAACAGACAGAATGTGAGCTGCAGACGTGTAACTAAGCAGCTAAACAATCATTCAAGGGAGGCATCAGAGCTTGAGGTGCAGCACAGAAATAAACGTTGTACTAGATGTCCTTACCAAGATGATGTGAAAAGGAGAAGAAGAAATAGAAGGACACCAAAATCTTTGAAATTTGCAGTAAAAATGTGTGGAGAAAACAAATTCCCTGATTGTGCAACTGCTCAGAATGTATTGTAATTGTACTAATGGAAAAACATCCAACCCTATCAAAGTACACGCTGGTACTCCTGTGTCATCTTAACAGAAGAAAATAGTTGCAAAGACTGTAGTAAGTACTTAGACCTTCTGATTAAGAAAGGTCTGAGCACACAGGTGATCTTTTAGTTCACAGAGGAAAAGGGATGCGTAGTACATTTGTTAAATATTAGAACAGTGAAGTAAGTCAGAGTTCATAGATGTTCCTAGCAGAACTGCTTATAATGTTCTGATAGATTACGTCTGCCCTGCAGCAGGGAAATGCGTGGCGGCTGAGCTGCATGTTACACTGGTTAGATTGCTGTTGGTATCTCAGCAAACTGGGATAATGCAGCGCCTGTGTCCCATGGCAGTGTCAGCGTCCCACTGGTCTAGAAGTGAGACCTGAGTCGCTCGCTACATTTCATGTTTGTAATTGCATTTGAAAGAAGAAAAGGAAACTTCATATGTTTATACTTTAGCAGATTTAACAGGTTGAAAAATTGCACACTTTGAAATATGCAGAATGGTGCTATTACTTTCAGTAGCATAAAGATGAATCTGCTCTAAATGTGGTCTGCAAACATTCCTTTAATATTTCCAGTGGGTGTATCTCTCCTCGTGATTGTTCCTTTTTTCTCTGAAGCCTGAAGCTTCTTCTCCTCAGAAATGTCATTATCTTCCCTGGTTTTGTTAAATGAAATGTGCTGGAAAGTTCAGAGCACGTTTTTCTAAGAGTGAGATGCTAATTGAAGAGTGTGGAGTCCTGGAATCTTTCAGCTGACCTTTTCTCAGAAGGTAATGTTCTCATTAAAGTATAGAAGAGATTGGAAAGAAAAAGAGAAAATAAAACTGTGGTTTTGAGCGGCCTGACTAAAAATCCCTCAACTTCTCCAGATGCTTAGGGTGAATTTCTTCCTTTCTTGTTCGGTTCTGACCCGTGTTTCATCCCGGATTTAAGACAGCGCGAGTTGATTTCTCCTATAGAAGAGCCAGCAGGAAAGTCCCATAAAAAGCAGAAATGTTTGACTGTGACACTGACGTACCATAACGCAAAGGGGAGGTGATTTGCACCTGCTGAGATCCAGCAGCGGGATCTGCTCTCGTTGTGGAGCACCCTGAGGCACCCCGCGGTTCCGTTCCGTGTGCCCATGGCAGCGGCGGTTCCCCGCCAGGTCTCCCCTCAGGCTGGAACAGTCACAGCGGGAGCACTGTTGTTTTTTTTTTAAGCAGTCTTAACAATTTTAAAAGCTTCCAAGAAAAGGTAGAAAATTATCTCCACTAATATCCAACAGATGTATTTTAAAGGCGGCTGTTTTAATTATATATGTTTTTAATGTAATTTTATAGTGAGTGCTGTAAAAGGAGGGCGAGACTATGTTTTTTAAGGTTGTTTGCTCCACGCGTTTGGTGTCACCCCTCAACACTTTCTGTCCTTTCTTCTGTCAAATTGAGCGGAGGGGAAGCGCAGCGGTAAAGCCGAACGTTCCTGCGCACCAACCGCAGTTACTGCGGTTGCCGATTCCGGACGCTGTAAGCGAGGCAGCCTCAGCCTCAGCCGGGCGTGCTCAGCCTCTTCGGCCCCCGCCGCCCGGTGACGCTGGGCGCAGCGGCCGCTCCTGCCGGCGGGCACAGCCGCGCTGCCGGCATCCCTGGTGCGGCAGCGTGCCGTCACTGCGCGCATCTCCGTGCTGCGCAGCGCCCTCCCGTCGCTGCTCTGCGAACCGGCCTCCCTCCGGAGCCCGGGCCGGGCCGGCAGCGCTGCGGGAAGCGGCGGACCTCCCGCCCGCCGGCGGCGCTGTCTCCCGGCCCCGGGCGGAGCCGCATCGGCCCGCCGCCCTTCCGGCCCCGCCGCCGCAGCCCCGTAGCCGCGCATGCGCGGCGGCCGCTCCGCGGGTGAGGAGGCGCTTCCGCGTCCCGTCAGCTGACGGGGGCCCGAAGGGAAGTGCGGGCCGCGCGGACGGGAGCGCAGCGCGGGGCGCGGCAGGTAGCGGGAGGGCGGCTGCGGCGCGCGTCCCTCGAGGCGCGGAGGTCTCGCCCGGACCCCGCTCCCTTCCCGCGGCGGGGCGGGAGCGCTCCCTCCGCTGCCCTGCCCTCCTCCTCTCCGTGGGCCGCCGCCGCTGACAGGACGCCTCTTGTCCCGCAGGGCCGCCGAAGGGGCAGCAGCGCCGCGAGGCCTCCAGCCATGGCCGACGTAAGCGCGGCTCAGCCGGGCGGGGCGGTTGGGCGGGACCGGGGGCCGCGGGGGCCGCGAAGCGCTGCGGCCGCGCTCGGTCGGGCGGGGAGCGGGTCGCGTCACGGCGTTTTGTGTCCCCGCAGGACCTGAAGAGGTTCCTCTACAAGAAGCTGCCGAGGTAACGAGGAGCTCCATCCGCGCCTCCCCCTCCGCGCTGTGTGCGGCGCTCCCGCTCCGCCCTGAGGCCGCCCTCCAGTAACACCTCTGCCTCCCTGCTTCCTCTTCTGTCCCTTGCGCGTCTGTTCTGGGGGAGGGGAAAAGCGATAAATAAGTGTGCTAGCAACTGTCCCGTTTGTAAATATTGTTCCCTTATCTTCTGCAGCGTCGAAGGTCTCCACGCAATTGTGGTGTCGGACAGAGATGGGGTGCCCGTCATCAAAGGTAATGGCAGCCGTGCTGCATCACTGACCCGGCGGCAAGTGGGGAGTGTGCTGCAGCCTCCTGTGCCCAGTGCCACAACTGAGGGTTAAAGGAGGCTCTCACTTCAGTAGCTTGTAGAATCATAGAATCGTAGAATGGCCTGGGTTGAAAGGGACCACAGTGATCATCTAGTTTCAACCCCCCTGCTGTGTGCAGGATTACCAACCACAGGCCAGGCTGCCCAGAGCCACGTCTGGCTTGGCCTCAGATGCCTCCAGGGAAGGGGGCATCCACATGGGGCGTTTTTCTTGGGCAACCTGTTCCAGTGCCATACTCAGGAAAAAAAAAAAAATCACTATACCCTATCACTATAGAACCATAAAGTCAGTTCTCTTCCTGTTCATAAGCTCCCCTCAAATACTGGAAAGTCGCAACGAGGTCTCCCTGGAGCTTTCTTCAAGCTGAAGAAGCCCAGCTCCCTTAACCTTCCCTCTTAGTAGAGGCGCAGTCCAACTCCTGGGCTGCTTCTGGACCCACTCCAACCACTGCAGTCCTTCTCAGTTGAGAAGGCTGAGGCCCAGTGCCTCAGCAGTGTTCCCAGCAGTCATAGGCTGCAGGAGCTTTCCTCTTTCGCACCATCGCTGTGCAGGGTAGGAAGGGTGTGGAGTCCTGTGACCTCAGTTGCTGCAGGGCAGCAGCAGCAGTCCCTCACATTGGGGCCCTGGCCAGGCCATGCTCAGAACTGACTGCATCTGGCTTCCACGTATACTATCTAATTCTTCCTGAGTTTGGGTACTGTAGCTTTTACCCTATCTCAGCAGTCCTCCTTTAGGATTCTTCTGCAGCACGGGTGAGGTGGTTTAAGAATAGAAAGATTCATTGTTGTTATTCGGTGGGGTTTCTTAGTGTCACAGAGTACTTAAGCAGCTAGTGAACATGCGCATCTCCATCTGCCTCCCTTCGGGTGGCTGTTTGCCAGCAGTCAGTTCCAGAAGTAGTTCCACAATACTGCATGTGGGACGTGAACTGAAGTGCCGCCAGTACCAGCCATTAGGGATTTGGGAGCGTGCTGTGCCATGGTCACGGGTCACTTGCAAGGCATTAAACAATCTGCTGCCCTTGAAGATTGTACTTGTTATGAAAGCATAGGTGATGTCTTATGTGTTCCTGACACCAGGTCTGCTTTTTGCAAAGCACTGAGTGAGATAAGGGTTTGTGATAGTCACAGATACCGTGTTAAAGCAAAAACTTTCTTGTTCTGTTCAAGTTGCCAATGATAATGCCCCAGAACATGCCCTGCGACCTGGCTTTCTGTCCACGTTTGCCCTTGCAACGGATCAGGGCAGTAAGTTGGGACTTTCCAAGAACAAAAGTATCATCTGTTACTACAACACATACCAGGTGAGTGACCACAGCCTGGGGCTGGTGCTCCTCATGTGTTACCCTGAGCATAATGGGAGAGAGAACATGGTGTAAACTCTGCTAGATTTCCACTTGGCTCTTCTTTGTGATTTATTTCTCAATTAAAGCTGGCTAAGCTACACTCTTGTGCTTTACTGAACTCTTAAATGTTTCTCAAAACTGAGAAGGCTGATGGGTTAAAGCTGGTTGAGTTTTCTGAGCAGCTGGCAACCAAGCACCAGCAGGTGGTGCTGTTGATGTGGTCTTCAGAGTGCTGTGAAGGGTTTATGTTCTTTTTGCAAAGGGTGTTTATTACTGACACAGTTACACAAGCGCGTGCAGCTCACTTAAAAGTTAATATTGCTGTGAGAAGGATTTCAAGGTAAGAAAACACTGAAATATCTACTTAAAGTTCTTACAAACTGGATATTTTTGTCCTGAAATCTCTTGTTACCCACCCAATCTCTGCTCCTTCTCAAGCTCAAGTGGTCTTAAGAACTTTTCATTTTGGCTGCAGTAAACCAGCATACTGCTTAGCCTGCAGTACACTGTTTTGTTTCTAAAATAAATGAGTAAATTAATTTGTTTACATACAGGAGTAGGTTGCTTTGAGTCTTGATGTTACTGGTTTACGTGCTTAAAGCTGAAGTTTCCTGTTAGAGGAAGAAGAAATACTGCTATATGCTAAAGCGTATCTTAAGAAGCCTGCCTGCCCTCTTGTTATTTGTAGGAAGGAGCTTCCTACAAATGCAGCTCTTGATCCTGCGTTAGATGTTGGGTGAATAACACCACAGAACACGAGAGGGAAGATGGCAGGCTTTCCATACACAGTTTCTTGCACTGTGCTACCAGCTTGCTTAGCACATTTATCTGTGACATCCAGTGTGCATTAGCTGCCGGGTAAAGAATGTTCTCTGTCTTGCAGGTGGTGCAGTTCAATCGTTTACCTTTGGTAGTGAGCTTCATTGCTAGCAGCAATGCTAATACTGGTACGTCTTCAGATGATTTTTTAAATGTTTGCAGTATTTTAAGCCCCAGATGTTTTAAATATTTGAAAGTAAATTGCCAGTTTTCTTCAAGGTGTATTAACTTTGCTCCTGTTGTGAATTGTGTCAGAATATTGTGAAGAGAAGGGAGATGCATGGGTAAAGACCCATAGATTCTAGGTGACCTGCTGAGGTTATGATTTCATTAGAAACACCTCATTTCTGTTGTGTTTAACCTTATCTTTACTATGTGAAGAGTGTTTACAGCACAAGCAATGACTGCACAGCACAAACCAGCTGTTTGTTCTCTCCATCTGCTTCAAGTTACATTCTGAAGTAAGATGTGCGGTGTCATCTCCTCAGTTCTGCAGAACAAGGCAGTCCTTCATTAAGGCACCTGGGCTGGTGTATGAGGGTTTTGGTGGTGGTTGCTGTGAGCCCAAGGGATTTAATTCTTGTGCAACCACTTGGCTGTGCACAAAGAGAGTTGTGCTGTACAGGGTGTGCCTGGTGGGGCCTGGGTCTGCATGCTCTGTGCCTTAGAGTGCTGCTTGGTGAGAATGAGCGAGTGAAGGGAAACGTTTCGTGCTATAGAAAACCATTCCTGTGACTTGGAAGCTGCAGGTTTTGGAAAAGTGTTTCTCTGATATGTTGTTTGATGTATGTTCCATCTCTTGTCTCTTTCTAGGGCTGATCGTAAGTTTAGAGAAGGAGCTCACGCCCTTGTTTGAAGAACTAAGGCAGGTTGTTGAAGTTTCTTAACCTGATGGTACAGTCGGAGTGCAGCGTCCATCTGCAGCCCAATGGACAGGAAGATTCAATAATCCTCAGTCCAGTAACACGTCTCAGAAGATTTCACAGCTCCTTCGTACACTAAGTAAATTGTACATAGTACTGAATCTGAAATGATCTACGGGTGTGTTGTAGGCAGATGTTACTTTAGACCACGCTTCTTGTATTGTGCAGTGTTGGAGACCACCAAATAGCTCCCATGGAGTTTAGCTCAGCCAATTTAGCCACATGAGCACAGTGCTCTTGGCTCAGCTGAGCAACCCACAGACCTTTTGCTTTACTGGGCACCAGGCATACAGTGGAGTTTATCCTCAGGTTAGCTACCGCAGCTTACTGGATAACAGATGGATTGGTGTTACCAAAGATGTGACTGAAGGAGCATTGTGAGAGCCTGTTTGCTAGCAGTGATGTATCAGTACAATCAATCAGTATCCCATCTTGTTGGTGATGCTTTGGTCAAATAATCTGACTAATCTGGGTGTTGGCTGCATCCTGCTTTCACTGAGAATGCTTTTTCTATGAAAGCTGTTGCTTTAAGGGTTTTCCTAATGCCCACAGGAAAGCACATGAACCATGTTTCACTTTGTGGGGTTTTTGTGTAACACAGTTGTGAAGTTCTCATGCCTTGTAGTATTTGTGTGGATTCATCATGGGTGACACTCGGCTCATTTACCCCTAGGTTTTCCTAAGTAAATAAATATAAATAAAATGTATTTTTAAATGACAGAACCTGGTCCACTCGTCTGTTGCACTGCAATATAGTACCATTTCTGTGCAAAGAATGGGTTTCCTAATCACTTGTAAGCTTACAAAAGCCAGGAGCTTACAGGCTGGCAACTAAGCCATTCCCCTTCTCAATGGGGTTGAGTGGATATTGCATCCTGTGTCAATATGTAGATGGAGAAGTTAGTAGCTGACTGGCTTCCTATTTATAAGATCACAGGGGTTCCAGCCCATGCCCTCTGCCTCTCCTCTCTTCTCCCTCAGTCTCTCTATGACTCTAGTGCATACAGTCAAATCTAAAACTGTTGGTGTAATGGAGCTTTCTTAGCAAGTTTCTGACATCACGCTTATACCTTGACCATCTCTGTGCCAAGAGTGAGGGCCGGGAGTTCTTTGCTCAGAAGCTCTCACAGATTAAAAATTCTCAGTCAACCCTTTCCCATTTAAACTGAGCTCCTAGCTCAAGCTTTCTGTAGCTGTAATCACAGAGACAGCTCTGGGTAACTGGGCCCCAAGGCATCTGTGTGGGTGCTTGTGGCAAAAATCATTCCTGTTCCATCCAGGGAGAATCTCTTGCTGTTATTTCCGGCTCAACCCATCCGGTGCCCTTGCCCAAAATGCTTCCTAAGCCAACCAAGTACTGATTTGCTGGCTGCTGTCTGTGGCATCATGTACTGAGCTTGCTTCTGATGTTTTTGAAATATGTGAAGAGGAAGGTTGCTTCTGTGGTTGCACTTGGAGCTTTGTTCCCAGGTGCACAGGAGAGCAATGGTACGGGAGAACATCAGATCTTTCTTCTCCTGACTCTGCCTTTATTGCGTGCCAAGTCATCAGTGCTTTTTAACTAAGTTGGAGATGCAAGTTGTTATATTGACTTTTAAGGCAAAAAGAAAGACTAATGTATTTTGCAAAGCTTTAACGATACTGTACAGAATTACAGAAGACCTTTGGTAGTTTTATAATGACTTTTTATTCAGAAAACAGTGTATAAAAATATTTACAAATATTTTGAATGTATAAGTTGAAATAAAATGCTATTCCTGTCCAAAGCTGGATTTTCCTTCTAGTATGTTCTTCTAGTACGTTTCTCCCCCTTTTTCTCTTCAGCTTTCTCACAGTAAAGGCATCTACTGAACACTGAGCTGCTGCTGCACATTGTCCAGGGAAAAGGTTTCCATGCAAGCAGCGGTTCATCAGAAATGTGACCATTACAGAGAGAGGGAACTCCCTGCTCACCCCACGTCTCCCAGAGGAGCAGGTCACATGGAAGACCAGACCAGGCTGGCCTTGAGACCCTCCAGTGTCAAAACTTGCTTTCAAAATGTAACACCTCATTTTTCATTATAGCACCAAAGCCCAAAGCTTCTGCTTCTGAACTCTGGTGAGCCACAACACTTAGGTGTGCTTGAGTCTTCCAAATTGCGTATGAAAATTTTCATCCATTATGTAGAAGATATATTCTTTCAAACACACACACACATATGTATATGTTTTTAGTGTATATTGTGCTTTCCTGTTGCTCTTCTTGTTCAGTGTAAAGCAAGCAGTGATTAATTCTTGAATGCAGTTGTGGATAAAACCTCTTGTTTTTTAAACCAAGTTATCTGCTTGAGGGGAAAAAAATTACAAAATCCAGCTCATTTTTAAAGGGGAGCATATGGGGTCCAACTCAATGCTGCTAAAACGTTGGTGGCTGCCACCAGCAAAGCCTTCTGCAGAGCTCTGTCATCCATCCTCGGGGTCCTGTAGCAGCACACACATGCTGAGAACTGCCTGTTTTTCATCACCTGGATGTATAAACAAGCAGCGTTTCTGTTGCTGCTTACCATATCCCGTACATGCTGTTTAAAATAAATGTTCATTCAAAGCCATAACTGTGGTATAAATCTAAAATGTACAGAAATATACTTGACCAGAAGTATTACTCATCCATCACCTTCAAAAGAGTCTTGGTTTAATTCTGTGGGTGTTAATGTAGATACTATTTACAAAAATGTAATTGGCTCTGTCATTCTTCTTTTGGCCTAGACTCCAACAGGCCATACAAAAGTAATATTTAATGTTTCCAGAAAGGCCTAATTTTAAATAACAGGCTGAGTGTTAACAGTATGTGCTGCTAATGGTAGCTGTGATGGAGCAAGCAGTAAGTTCTCAAGATGGCTCCGGATAACCTCAGAAGTTTTGAAGTGACTACTTCTGTGATTAGTTAATGGGTGTCTGAATGATTGAGCCTTGCAGACATAAACCACACACATCAAACTGACACTGTGATTTTGCAATGGTCTCCACACGCAACTCAGCAGCCTGAAAGCAGTCAATCAGCTGTACAGATCCTCTGTATGCAGAGCTGGATGCAAATGTCTGTGTGTGGGCAAGTCATGGAGACGTAGAACTGTCTTCCTGTGGTCAGATGCCTTCTCTGAGGCAACTCCTGCCCATGGAGTGGAAGGATTAGGGGTGCAACTGGGAACTGGGGGCACTGCGCTGCTCCACTTGTTTCCGTATTTGTGACTAGAACAGAGAAACAATCCGTTATCATTTGTCTACCTGCATATGGATGTGGGTGAGTAAAACCAAGCTAAATACTGATTTTTTTTTAGGGAAGTAACGTTTTTAAGTCTTCCTGTTTTCTTCAGGACCAATATGTGCAATCTGTGCTATTCAGTACTGTTTACCATCTACAGGGCAACACTTTAATGATAATTCATTGCTTTTTCATAACAAGTCTAAATATCAAAAAGGCATCCCAAAAGTAGTAAAGCGGGTTGGCAGGCTCATACATTTCATGAAAACTCTGTATTCTAGTGTAGTTGGCCTGGAAGCCAGAGCAGCACTCTTTGCATGCAGACAATGAGACCTGTAGCACTGGTGTGCTCTAGCACTGGGAGTTTATCATGGCAGTAGCACAGTACTGCTGCACAAGACATGCTGCCATTTAACAACACACACCATCTTACCAGTTTCCATCGCAGTATTTTAATCCACTCATCTGCTTCTATTCCAGTTTTTGCACACAGGTAGTATGTTCTTAGTGGGAACACTAAGCTGTAAATAAACAATTGGAGCTGTTTTTAAGTTGCTAGAGCAAGTAGTAGTTCCTTCTAAGACTGAAGCCAACTGATTTGCACCACCACTGGCAGAGACAGAGCAGGGCAGCAAGGCTTTTCTTCTGTACAGGAAAGGTTGAGTGGCAGCATTCACAGTCTATAGCTCAGGGACATGTTCCTAGGGACCCAAGTGCCAGCTGGGTCACCTCACTAAATACCATATGCCTCAATAATGATTATATGCATTTTCAGGATTAGAAAAAGAAATGCCCACAAAATATGGGCCTGCCCTCTTTCTCCCCTTCATGAAATAAAACCTTCTGCCTGTGGTAGTCTGGCAAAGCCACGCAGAACTGACAGCAGCTATCATCAGATTTGTTAAGATCAGGGCTGGCTTCAGAATATAGGGAGCTTTCAAAAGCACCCAATGGTTCCATTTGAAACTCCTGGCTACTCTGATCTCCCCAGCACAGTGTAGCATACAACTTACCAGAAACAGTTGACTCTTTCTTGAGAATAGTCAAACTGCACTGCTGAGCATTCAGTTAAGTCAAGTGCCCGAATTGGTTCTGTGGCCTTTAAAATAAAATAATTTTATAATGGGAACACATGAAAATGAAATATAAGGCTACTTTTGTTCATCTCCAGTGCACATGGACCTTTATGGGTGCTCTGAGTCTCTCTGAGTACAGGCATGAAAGCTACAAGCACTGTGAACCTAAACCAGCTAAACAACATCAGCGCTGAAGTGGGAGGAATTGAACCTAATGTACGAAACAGTACAATAGGCTCAGATCTAGACAAACGATAGAGGACACCACTACTGCAGGAAGTCAGAGCTAGATACAGACTGCTAAAGGTTTCATTATAATATAACTAGTATCCAGCTAAGGCTCACAGAGAAAAGGAGATAGTTACACATCTTATCAATTCTAACCAGCTGTTGGAGATTTAATTAATTCCCAAAAGATTTAAAAGGCTGAAGCTGAGTAAGGAAGAAGGCAAAAGGAGAGTTGAAGTAGTGTGTGTGTGGTTTTCTGGGGACAGGCCCAGAAGCATTTGGGAGCAGGTATGCACTCCCTTAGGAGTTTCATTCTGTCTAGGTATGACAGTTCTTTTGATTTATTTTTCTCACCGTGTTGAGCACCTTAGAAGAGGTGGCTGAAATGAAAGAGCTGCTTGCTCTATTGGAACACCCTCACCAATTTCTGTGGTCCTTCATGAGGCATATGGAGTGTTTTCTCACCTTTCCTTACATCTTTCAATACCTGATAGTTGTACACTATGTTATGAGAAAGCTGCACTATGTTATGAAAAAGTGCTGAGATAAGCTAATAAGTGCTAGCCTAGAGCTAGCAGTAAACTGTACAGTGACAACAGAAGCATCAACAGAAGCATCAACAGCTGCTGGAGCTGTGTGGGAGGAGTCCGCATTTCTGACCAAGATGTGTTCTTGCCTGGTAAGTCACAAAGGCAATTCAGACACTTGAGTGCTGCCCTTAGAAATGTTACACTGGAAGTTTAATTCCAGGTGGTTTTAACTGAAATGAGCACTAATGGCAAATCCTATAAGTACTACATAACTGTTTGTAGATGTAGATGTTTGGTGTGAGAGGGCAGGTGTATGCTGTTGTGTTAAAATCTGCAAGATGCTTGAAAGAGGCTTTGGCAGTGGTCAATGGTTTGGCTGCACTTGTGCAGGAACTTGCTGTGGAGGTACTGTAAGGGTGGAGGGACTCTAAAGGTATTTCTTACTCTTAAAAATGGAACACAACTGTAAGGGCAAACTTTTTCCCAGATGCAATAGGTCAGTCTTTGTGCTATGCAGATTGATAAGAAACAATTTCCTTTAATTGCAGTTGTTTGTGTAAACTACACAGCCACTTGAACTAAAAGGATGAAATCAAGGAATGCAAAATACGCTTTTAGCATTTGCAGAAATACTTCAATAGTACTGTTCTCTGTCTGTTAAAGCTACCAGTGAAAGCTGTGCTGGTAGCTTGAAATCCACTGAACAAAGAAACAAAAAATGCATTGTAAAGAGCAATTCTGACCTGTAGGTAAGACTGATGGAGCACAGGAGATGATTTCTAGCTGCAAAACTTATCGACTTACTCATTAAGGTTATCAGCAAAACTCTGACTCTGAAAGTCTTCTGACAGTATGGGAAGCTGTAACTTAGTAAGCTGTGATACGTATGCAAGAAGCCAGAAGTAGGAGGATGTTGTGGCTGCCCCCGTACAGGTTTAGAGAATAGAACTGGTGCTTGCTACTTACTGTCTGGTCTTTGAAATATTTAAGTTCATTCCTATGCAGTGTAAACCACCTTGTCTTCCAGTTCTGAAAGATCAAGAACGGACGGTAATTGTCTTGTGAGAATTTAATGTAGCACTTCTTAGGAAAGAAAAACCTTTCAATCTGTTGACTTGCTCTGCTTTACAGTTGTGCTTTGCTGTTGTTTAGAAGACAAATTATTCCTCCCCACAGGGAAATTCAGGCCAAGCTCAGCGTTCTCCCTAGCTTCTGTGGGCAGTTACAGAGTAAAAGCAAGGAATAAGAGGTTTTCTTACCTTGACGATTTTGCCTTGTTTTATCAAATATCCTTCTTTAGTACCAAGCTATGAAGTAATAAGAAAAAGAACTGGGGTTAGAGAATCAGCTCTGTTTGTTTCCCACATCCCCTTTTGCCTATAACCACAGATGGAAGAGCAATCTGTTCTCAGGCAGCTTCCTGTAAGCACTTGCTCTTGTCCTTGTTGTTGAGTGCCCTGCTCCTCACCACTTGGATAAACACCAATTTTTGCTGATTTCAGAGACAAACTCTTCCACCATGCCTCTCTATTCAAGCTTCTGGCCTGCATCTCGTCCACTAAATGAAGCAAAATATATGCAATTATGGTTGATCTTTATTTAGTGAAGTTGGTTGTCTGCCTCTGTATGTTATATCCAGAAGTACCTGGAGTTTATGTCAGTGAATTACTGCCAATACTGGGAGGGAGAAAGGGAAAGGGGGAGGATGGAGAGCCTTTTATTGGCTGCACAGGAAAGTTAAGTTCCTTTAGAGGTTTAAGTGGAACTCAACTCAGTGGTTGGATGTGGGATACAAAGTGTTTCTTGTATGGACTTTGTTAGCCTGTATTAATGTAACTCTTCCTCTTTAACTTCAAAAAGTTAGTTAAGTTATTAGAGTACTCTCCTCTGTATTCTGAGCCATACTGTTCTGGCCAAACCACCTGTCTCACTTAAATAGGAGTTAGGGATTTAAAGTCTCTAATTACTGTCCAAGTGAGTCACAGATATCAGAACAGATGGCTCAAATGGATATGAAGATGTTCTCTTGTTTCTCACACCAGGAAGCCATAGCTTCTAACATGACACTGCTTTTTAGTAGCGCTGAGAGGCTCTTCTCTATTTTGGGCGCAAGTCTGTGTTAGAATATAGCAAGCCATCTTTCTGCTTTAAGATGAGATGATTATAAGGTAATAAGTCCAAATAAGAAAATGCTAAAAACAACAACAAAAAATCAAATGTAATGTGCCTACCAGAATTCAGATACACTTATTCAACTGTAGCACACTCAGTTTGGGGTTTCCCTTTCCCAATGTGTCTCTGAGTAATTTTGAATATACTTTTTTTTTTTTTTTTTTATCAAAAGCTCACTTTTTAACTGATGTAGGGATTCAGAGGTGCTATCTCCTTCATTCCGGCCTGTACACTGCTAGAAGCTTGCCAAAACAAGGGCTTGCTGTGCAACCTGACATAAGTGTTGTTGCATACAGCCTGACCAGAGCTGTCAGAAAAGCGTAATACTTCTCAATCTGGTCTTTAGAATTTATTTTTTAATTCCTGATAATATTACTGGTAAGACTGCATCTTAAGGGGACGATAACACAGGAGATCAAAAACCCTTTATGTATACTTTGTTTGATGGTCAGACTCACCTTGGCCTGCTGTAGACAGCACTGTCAGTCTCAGAGGCAACAGCTATGAAAGGCTTTTTGTCTGTTTTTAGCTTGCTTTGCCTTATTTGGTGAAGATTTCTTGTATTTCAGAACACATACAGTGATGAATTATCAGCATTACTCCATAGCTCACTCCAGCAATCACATTAAACTCAAGCCAACTCAAACATCTTTCTTGCCAGAGAGCAACTTACTGAGGGAGCATTTGGAACAAGATCATTTTCTGTCCTTCCTGTCTGCATTGCTGTGTGAACTCGGACAGACTCATAAATAGATGGCTCCTCCACTTCATGTGGATAGGGATGCTTCAATACAATTAAGGTTCCTGGAGAGAAAAGGAGCAGGAGTGAGTAATATCTCAAGACAGTCTTAGAAAGTAATTGAAAGTAGCTGCTTCTTGTAGGATAAGTTAGTTTCACAGAATCACAGAATGGCCCAGGTTGGAAGGGACCTCAAGGGTCATGAATCTCCAACCCACCCACCACAGGCAAGGCCACCAACTTCCACATTTAATACCAGACCAGGCTGCCCAAGGCCCCATCCGATGTGGCCTTGAACACCTCCAGGGATGGGGCATCCACAACTTCTCTGGGCAGCCTGTTCCAGCACCTCACCACTCTCAAAGTAAAGAACTTCCCCCTGACATCCAACCTAAATCTTCCTTCCTTCAACTTAAAACTATTTCCCCTTATCCTGCTGTTATCTACCCTTTCAAAAAGTTGACTCCCCTCCTGTTTATAGGCTCCTAAATATTGTGAATTTGTAAGAGCTAATAACTTGCCTAAGATCTCAGTAATACTGCCTGTACAAAGGCTGCATTAACAACAGTGAATCTAATACATATTCCTCAGAGAAAATCCTCCCCAAACAGGAACAGCTATACCTTCTAATACCATTTTTAAAAACATCACAGCATATTAAATGCTATGTTAGCATTTTATGTTGGTATTGTTAGCTGTTAAGAAGGAGGAGTGCTAGAGGTGTTAAAGACTTGGATTTGAAACTTGCAGGTGATTTGATGACTTAAATATGAAATCAAGTCTTAATCATATTATGTAATAAGGACAACAAAGGGAAATGAAAGCATGATTTTTTTAAACTAACTAACTGATACCTATTCACAGGCACATGGGTATATGCACTTATGTTCAGCTTGCAATAGGTCAAAAGTGAAAACTGGTTTAATTCTCTCTGGTCTTGCAGGAAAAAAATGCTTTAGCATCAGTAAGAAAATAGAGACACACCCCATCAGTCTATAAAAACTACTCTTCATCTATTGCACAGACTGTTATTATATGTAGGCAGAGATCCATGCTGCAAAACTGGCTGGACTAGTTCAACATCTTATACTGTAAGTGCTTTCTATTAAGCTCTCCATGCCTTTTCTCCATAAAAGATACTTGTACAGAGTCATTGGGTGACTGTGTAACAATAGGAATAGATTCTTGCTGTTTGTGCATGTATCTCTTTCTAAGAAGAAATTTACTAACCACATGCTATCAAGACTCTTGTTTTTTCTTCTGAGTAATACAAAGCTTTTGTATGTTTTGAAAATAACTTAAGGAGAATGGATAAACAAAGCAAATGGTTAACAACAGCATTCTGACATTTCATTTTGAATAAAGACCGAAACACGACACCAAGCTGTTTTAAGATTGTTAGTGAAAAGTCAGCTTGGCAGTCCAAGAAATAAAACATAGCAGTCTCAATTTCCTTTTAATTATCTGTAGTTCAGGAGGAAGTGCATGCAGAAAAGAATGTTAGTCAGTGTAGCAACCTGGAGTGGCAAACAAAGCTGTAGCAAAATGAGGTTTGTGGGCCTGGAAGCACAATCCTGCAGCTGTCCCAGAAGAACTGCTGTGCTCCATGGACCAGTTTAAAGGTTAAGAACTGATCAAAGAGCCTGGTGTATGTCTTCAGATACACAATTAGCTGCAGTGAGACTAAAGGTGGATGGAAGATAACAAAAATTCTTACATATTCTACCTCGCTGTTGCTGTTTTATCAAATTCTGTCCATAAGAAAGGTGGGGATGAAAAGTATGCATGTTATCTTGCTTTGCTCTCATTCCTGACCTCAGTCTTTCACTATAAAATTGTTTGTAAGGATAACAATGGTTAAGAAAAACTGGTCCAACTACTTTCTGCTCATGCCTGAGCCAAAGCTGACTTGCACAGTGAAAGCTTCCTTTCACTGAAAGGAAGTGTGGCCTAAGAAATTAGGCTTCTGCTGGCTTTTTGGCAAGCCTGCTGTATGTCCCTGTGTTGTACTGGTCAGTCAGCCATGATAACACTTGGCTGAGAATGGGCTCTAATGAGCCCCTGCCCCCTTCTTAGCACACATCAGTTATCACCCCACAGTGTGCTGTCATTCTCTTCCTGTCTACTGTTATCCCTAACAAGTGAAGGTAGAGGAGTTCTTGATGTGATCTTCAAATGCCCTTTTCCTGCTATCTAGTATATACAACTTAAATACCTTAGAGGTTTCACAGAGCTAGGAGAATCCAGTTAGGATCTTTAAAGTGGCAAGTGAGCCCTTCATTCAGCAGCATTGATCCTGTCCATAGAGACTGTGTAACACCCAAGCCTCATTTACTAGTGTCTGTAATACATGCAGTGATAGAATGGGGAAGTACAGCCTCGTCATCTGGAATCTCTGCAGAGTTAGGTCTGCAGGTGCATGTCTGATTTTGCAGGAAGCAATTCTTATCGGTGCAAAGAGTACAAATACAAACTGTTCTAAGCATACTTAAAAACAACTTAAGAGAATGCTCTGAAAGACACAAGTGCAATATTGAGTGTAGCACTGCATTATATTTGTAAAATATTTTATAAAGTAACCCTCAAATTTAATGCTTATGATCCATTGTGTTAGAAGAGCGCTAGTGCTTATCACTGTGTGACATATCCCAGCTACTGCATGTGACAACCAGCATTTAGCTGGTCACTTTCACAGTACTGCTCATTATGTATGACTTTTTGCATACACTTTTTCCACGGGATACTAAAATTTTTGCCACTAACTTGTATTGACTCATTGTCAGCTCTCACCTTTGAAACTAAATGTAAAACTGGCACTTCTGTGCTAATACACATCTACTTGTTGTGTCCCAGTCTGAGAGTGTCGTGTTCAAGTCACTTCTAGGAACAGAGTTTAATGTTTTGACACTTAAATCAGGTAGCATGCTGGCTGCTCATCAAACCTGTGCTTTTCTCTCTATTTCTTTTTTTTAAAGCAACACAAATCCATGTGATGGTGGGATGGGATCAGCAGGCTGACCTGCTGTAAACAGAAAGTGGAAAAGATAACACAGGGCATGTTTCCTACAGGAAAGTGGAGGATATCACTTGACTGAAGAAGAGTAGAGCAAAATTTTCAGGTCCTTTTTCCACCTATTCTTTTTGGAAGATTTTAATTTTATACATGAGCATGTATTTTTCGCGTTAGGTAAACATTCTGCTTTGGTTATGTCCTTGATAAGAAGGTTCTGCTCCATCCATTACATGCACGTTTTCAAGAGCTTCCTTGGGTTCTCAGAGAGAAAGCACCCTATGTCCCTAGCTAGCAAAAACTCAGTAAGGTTGCATGTACTTTGTCTATAGCATACTTGAAAGTGTTTTTGAAGAGGGATATCTTAAATACCTCAGGGATTTCTGAAGAGGAACACTTTAACAACATTTCTACCTTATAACACATCAATAACTCCTTTTACTTAGAGCTGTATGAAGCATGACTATAAGCATGTTTGTGAAAATGCAGAGCTCTACTTACCTGTTTCACTTCCAATTAAAGGCTGATTTGCAAAATGCATGACTAATTCCTTCAAGCTGGAAAATTCATTAAATCCAAATTTGAGTGATGTTCCTGTATATTCAATATGAAAATGTTTCACAGAATCCTTTCCCCTGCAACAGAAAAGGGAAACTCGTAGAGGACTTGTAAAGGACACTGGCTACTTAAACAGTAGCTTCTACTACAAGAAATCTAGCACAAAATCAGTCTTAGCAGTAGTACTGTTGCTGTTACTTTCCCTCACTCACAGTCAATACGTCTGAGAATCAGATTCATTAAGAAAACATAATTGCTGCTTTACAGATGAGGGTAGCAAAAGCCACAAAAGAGCGGGATAGTCAATCTTGTCACAAATCAATAAGAAGACTTATAAACAAGATCTTTAGGTTTCTGTCTAAGGAGGTTGATGATCTTCTTTTACCCAGCTTCAATTCTGATGGTTTCTGATGGCCTCTACTATTTGAAGTACTTGCTTTGCTTTTCAGGTGTCATCGCAGTCCCACTCTGCTTTGTTTGAACAATGAAGGCTTTACAATTTGTCTGCTCTGTCTCTGTCCTCGGGGTTGCACTGTATTGGGTGCTGTCAAACAAGAATCAGGGTCCTTTTACTCAGAGAAGTAACATAATTTGTTTATACAAGCTGGTGATATTTAGAGAAGTGTGCAAGGCTTCACTTCCTGGAAGGGTACTTATTTTTACTTCAGAAGTCAGTGAAGCACTTAGAGCAAGCATCTTTTTTGTGAAAAAGTGACTTCTGTTAATACTGCTAGCATCCAAAGCAGTCCAGAAAGAAGTCTGGCTCAGAAAAAATGCATGTAGCAAAAATACTAACAAATTTTGTTGCGAAAGGGGGTTTACAGTGTTTTTTCTAAAGCTTATTGACACTTCTACAGGAGCTTATAATTTCAAACTGGTATTGCTCTTTGAACAATAGTTAGAACATGACACTGAAGAACATGCCTAATAATCTCTCCTGTGCTTTGCCCTACCATCAGCTCAGACACAATGCCTGCTATCCAAGTCCTGACTCTCTGTCTAACAAATAGCTGCTGCAATGGTTTGTTGCAATTACAGGGTCTTCACCTTTTCATTTAATTTCACAGGAAATACAATGTTGCAATTAGAGCAATTTCTACTCTATTTCCTACTACTCCAGTTCCTTTTTAAAGTTGGCTAATACAGCTGGGAGATAGGGTTTCAGGCAGGGTATGATCTCTCTCCTTGTCATCTTACAGCTGTCAGTTAAAACCCCAAGGGCTTTTTCTTACAAATGCTAGTAACTGGTGAAGTTTTTTGAGAGGTAAAAAGGGAAGTAAAGGAATTTTAGGAGATAAGAAAGTGAAAGCTATAATTTCTAAAATGGCTCTTCCTGCAAGACATCAAAATGAAACTGAATTACTTATTCCAAAATGAAGTTTTAATATAAAAAATTTAAAAAGCAAATTATACTTACAGCAGAAAATAAATGACACATCTTAAAATAAAGATTAGTATTTCTAGGGAGCTGTACCACCATGAAAACAGTGTAACAGAGTAAGAAACCAACCTTCAGACTCAGGTCCGGAATACTCTGCATACCGTGATGCAGTGAGCAACTATCAGTCCTTACTACAAGAGCTGAATAGCAGATTGGAATTGGCCCAAGTAGACTTCTCTAGGTATTGTAAGACTAGAATTTGTTAAAATGGCAAATACATTTTCATTAACACTTCAGCTTTCATCTCCTTTTAGAACAACTTATGCTATGTTCCCACCTACAAGGGATGTGATAACCAGCATCACTGTGTATATCCAAGTAATTTTAGTTTAAAAAGTTACTGTGATTCATAGAATCATAGAATGAGTTGAAAAAGACCACAATGATCATCTAGTTTCAATCCTCCTGCTATGTGCAGGGTCACCAACCAACAGACCAAGCTGTCCAGAGCCACATCCAGCCTGGCCTTGAATGCCTCGAGGGATGGGGCATCCACAACCTCCTTGGGCAAACTGTAGTTCAGAGGCCCAATATGAGGCAGAAATGAGTATGAATGCAATATCTTGAACATTCACTAGAGACTTAATATATCATATAGTCGCCAAAAGTTATGGATGTATTTAAGGCTGGTTACCTCAATGCAGCTGACACACAGCAACTACTTTGTGTCTCTAATGCATGTGTCTCTCATTTTGCCTGCCAAAAATATTGTGGCTTCTCTGCTTCTTGGCTTTTTAAGGATTCCTTCAATATGATTCAGTAGTGAATTACCCAAGGTAGGCTAAGTGTGCTTTGTACTGGCTGTGTCCTGAACTGACGTAAATTGCTGAAATTTTGATGATTTCAACAGCCTTATTTCTGTAACTGGGGAAATACAAATACTACCTGAATCAGTAGTACACTACTGGTTACAAATCAAGTCTGAGCCTAGACTTAACTTTTACTCCTAGAGGAGTAAAACTTTCCAGCAAATCACTGGATTAACTGGATGATAGTTTCAGAGATCCAGAAACTGTAAAGTTACTATCAATTACTGTTAAATTTACTTTCTATTTAGGACTATTTCTTCATTGTAAATGTTTTTTTACATCTATGAAGTGTTTAAGCTCTCCATACTGTCTGTATGGTAAAAATCTGCATGACAGAATACCTATACCAATCACAAAATGACATTTTCCCCAATAATATTAGTTAATATTTTGGAAAAATGAGAGCCCTTTCCAAATTCAGTTCATATTTTATTCTGCGTCACTCAACAGGACTAGATCATCAGGGTATTTTCCAACAGTTTGGGCCCCAGAATGAAACCTGAAGGTCATACCAGTATGTGAGATGCAAACATATGTGGGAGTTAAGTGAAAAATCTTTTAAGTGCCAGCTGTGTAGCATCAGATAAGTACTGATAGATGCTTCTGTTCATACCCTACCTTACAGAGAGGGAATACAAATCTTCCCTTTCGTTACTCTTCCTCAAGAGATAGCTTCCATCCTTCCCATTGGAAAGAAGCAGGGCTTCTGCTGCGTGTCGAGTAAGGTTATAATGATACCACCTGGGAAGACACAAGGGGTTTAAAGCATCATTCGCTCTGTTCTTAGCTGACAGTTTCTGCTAAGTTTTGGAGCTGAGTCAGAGAAAGAAGCAGAACTGGAACTAACTCTGCTACAACTGAGTTATTCTTCTAACAGGCAAATACAGGTTGCAAAGAACTGTGCCCCTTTCAGCAGCCTCCTTTTGACAAGCTTACAAAATGATCTTTGTTGTAACTATGAAATTATGCGCTTCCATATTTACAAAGAGCTGACTGTGTAAGTACCAAGAAATTACCCAGATGTTCTCTAATAAGGTGAAAGCAGTTCTGGGGGTATGCAGGACCCTTTGTCTAATTTCAGAATCTCTACTTCCTGATAAATCTATACACTTCAGTACATTTCCTCTTTTGGGGCAAACAGGGAGTGTTTGGGTATAAAAACAAAAAAAATCTCTTCCCAATTTCTAATTCCCTCAACTCAGTTCATCTGCTCTGCTAATATCTGCAATTAAGCAGATTTGCCTAAACTGACGCTTTCATATGAAACATAACCTTTTTGGAGGAAGGAGTGAAGGGGAGGAGAAGGTAAACCAGCAGAATCTGAAGTGAGAATTTGGGGGCCTTGCCATCACTGTCACTCAGCTGCATGTGGTCTGAGCAATGCAACAAAGCACTGAACACTTGCTTCATTTAACTTCAATGAAAAGTCACTTCATACATTTCCACATGGAATGTTCCGGGGAAAATAAAAAAAAATAAAATGTGATGGAGACTACACAATGCTTCTTACAGCCTTGTTTCTGTCCAGACTGACTTGGAACAGAAATGTCTTATTTCTTTCAATAGAAAAGGATCTCATTAGAACCATTCTTGAAACTGGTCACAGAAAAAGGGATGTGGCTGTAGAAAGCTAAAGCCCTAACTCTCTAAGAGAGGCTGTAGGCAAATATTAACAATGACTATACATACACACACCAGAGTTTCTGGTAGAGGAGAGAATGCAGTACCTCTAGTACCCTTCCCCTCATCCACATGGAAGTGGTGCTGCTTTCCTATCCCCTTTCTTTAAAACTCCGTGCCTGTAACTGTGGGGGCAAACTCATTACTATTTCAGCTCTTGAAATAGTATTGACTGACAGCAGACATTGGATCACAGTGCTTTCTGGTATTCATATTGCAACAGTCTTCAAACAGAAATGATGTGTAACTTTTTTTTCCTTTTCTGTTCATCAGAACCTGCCACTTATCTTGGCATCTCTCACAAATGTTTACCTCTGAATTTAGAGGGCTGCCTTTCTGAAAGGCCAGCTAGTTGATAAATGGCTTTATAAGAGATTTCGGACTGTTTTCACTCTGTGGAAGACAAGATCCATGTGAAACTCAATACAGGCAGAGTATTGCTGCTTTGGCTCTGGAACGTGCTCTGTGGACCATCTACACAGTAGAATAAAATAATAAGTATTTAAAGATCAAACTGTCATCCTCAGAAACACCTGTCAGCCAAAATCTGCTTTAGGATTAACTGCCCAAGTAAGTAACAGTCAAAGGTCAGATCTGTTCTGATGTGATGAGGATCGTACCGGCACGTAGGGTAGGCAGGCTCTACAGCTAAGACGACATTGTGTTTTGAGTGCAATCTCATAATGTGTTTTCTCTTACTGCTGTGACAAAGAAACATTCAGAAAATCTGTGAGTGGTCATTTTCATAAAGAAGGTCACTTATAAGTGTGCTATTATCTTATTTCCAAGAAGTCTTCTATGAAGAATTTAAACTAGAAGTCAGTCAGGTTTATAAAATGGACTGTTTACGTGTGCTCTCTTACATGCAAGAGTGATTTAACAACATCCTACCATTGCAGGGAGGAGAAAGTCATACCACCCACCTGGGAAAAGAACATTGGCTTAAAGTAGATATTTAAATCTGCTGAAAAAGTTGCATCACACTTCTTACACAAATATGCTGTTGCAGACAAAAATCCCTCAGATATTACTATGGTCATCTTTCTCAGCTTTAAAAAGTGAACATGAAGCAATAGCACAGCTCCCAGCATCAAAGTAGCTGTCTTACTCATGGCTATTTTTTTCCTCATCTATTGTCACAGATGGCTGGGTCAGTAACAACTCTCAGGTTACTTTATTCTGCTAGGAAAATGGACATTCAAAATTTGTTCCAATCATATGGGAACGGGTACAATTTAAAAATTGCATTGAAAAGTAATCATTTGCACACAAACTACCAGGGAAGTAAACACACCCCCATGAAAATGTTTCAAGATCCTTCTGTTCTCCTAATCAACCTGTCTGGTGATGAAGGGAAAAGTAAATAACACTAAAAATTAACCTAAAGCCCTGTAGTTTATACTACTACGTGCACTTCCATTGAATTTAAGTACTTGTTGGGAGATTGGGGCAGGTGGAAATATCCTTCAGTTTTTCTTATTTAAAAAAAAAAAAAAAAAAGTCATGTAGTCATGTAACCTAGTAAATCAGCTGTCTGATACCAACAGAACTTCTAAGACAGCTGACTGAAGGTCAGTCTTAGTAGGTATCAAGGTGGGGAGACATGGCTCGTTATAAGGGGCGGTCACCCTCTGCTTGAATTTTGTTCTGAATGATACTTGGTGGAGGAAAACAGGTAGAAAATACATTGTAACTGTAGTTCTCTATCTACTTAAAACAAGAAATTAGTTGTATTTAAAAGGTTTTACAGACATCCAGCTGTTTGAGACCAGCAGGGAGCTCCACTTCCAAAAGCTGAATTGTCTTGTCAGCTCTTCATTTTTGAATCACAGTCCATGTGTGGTATATTGGGCTCTTTCCAAATATCCTTCAAAAAGTCATTTCTATTTGATTCAACTTATAGAACTTGTATCTACTACAAAAATTCCAGAAATGTGTTCCATACTCTGATACTTGTCAGACTGAATATTATCAGGAGTGAAGAAATTGTTTGGAGATGCTGATACAGAAACCTCTCTATGAAGAAATAAAAGGGGAAAGAGAGAGAAGACCTTTCCTTTCTCTGAGCTACTTCTGCTGGCTGCCCCTGGCTTTGCATGTCCTCTCTCAAACTCATATGTATCTGGAAGGTTTTTTCCAGTTACTTCATTTCTCTGATCTAAAGTCCTGTCTGCTCCACTCCTTATTTTAGTTTCCTTGTTGTCAGTTTGACAAATGATTTCAGATTGGGTATACAATTGCTGCCAGAGTCATGTGTCAGTTCTTGTTCCTTTAACTTTGTCTGAAATCATGTTAATCTCACTATCCTATGCTCAAAAGCAGGGTTTTTTTAAATCACTGTGTGCTGCTGAAGAACCATACTATTGCTACTGCTTTTCAGAGTGGAAGCACCTTCCAGGCCTATGGATAGCATGTCTTAAGGCAAGCCTGTCACACTACTGGGATTAGCTTTGCTTCTCTTTGGAAAGTATCACATTTCCAGAAATCAGACTACTTTTCAGATTAGATTGTGTCAGTGACAGTGTAGGAAGGGCTTCACTGTCAAGGTGAGGAGGAGTAAGAACAGAGATGGTACCCCAAAGAGTCAAAAAACATCCCAGTGCGGTCCTAACTATTTGCCCATCTAGGCACCAGTGTGACTCCCACTAGGGGGAAACTGGTGGCCAAGCACAAGCTGTGTCTGTATCACTGCAGCCATGACACTCATTGCAACCCCAGAAAAGGGTGTGCTGACGTGACAACCTCTTTTTTTCTTTTTTTATAAGATCTGTACGGCTAACGTAGTAACTAGAGTTCTCTGTGGTGGTGGTAATCAGAAGCACACTGTAGCAGTGCTTTTAGTGAGGAATTTCCTCTTCAGATAAGAACACCCTCTTCAAAATGTTCATTTATTCTTTAATAACTCAGAATATATCGAAGAAAAAGTTACAGAAATTTCATTCCTATGTCACCTACAGATCAGTTTTTATGCACGGTATCTGCCTTTTTCAGTAAAGCTGTTAGCAGAGCAACTGTCCTGGGAGGTGGTGGAGTCACTGTCCCTGGAGGTGTTCAGGAAGTGTTGAGATGTTGTACTGATGGACATGGGTTAGTGGGAAATACTGGTCATAGGTGGACGGTTGGACTGGATGATTTTGGAGGTCTTTTCCAATCTTGGTGATTCTAAGAACTGTATAGGTATTTCCCCTAAAACACTTATTTTCAGACCCTATAAATAGGGGCTGGTGAATGACACTACAGCCAGCATCAGGAGGGTTAACTTTTTAACAGTGTTGGAGTACACAAGAAACACAAACACTCATCTATGGCTGACCTACGGGTAAGCATGGAGGGACTTGGCTGACCCTCTTCTGGGTCATTTCTGTATGCAAACTGCTGAACACCCAGTGGAAGCACTCACTTTTCCTCATCATAAGAACTAAAGATATCTAACAGCAGTAGTATGCACAGCAAGAAGTTTTGGTTGCCGTTTGTTTTTCATGTCTGAAGCAATGCTTAACTGATGTATGCCTCGCTATCAGATAAGAGCAGTAGGCAGATATTTGGCTTATTTTCTGTGTCTTTATCTGATTATGCTCTTAAGTAGTTATAACCTAACCTGGATGGAATTAGATACTCTGTATGTTTGGTTTACTCTTATAAGAGTCAGGTTATTTCAAAGTTCCTTCTTGGAAATGGGAAGGAGATTCTCAGTGCTCAGCTAGGTTATCTTGTGGATAGCATTGTGGCTGTCTTGCAGGTGCCAAGGAGAAACACAACAAAATATGTCACTTCTCATTTACCTCTAAAAGGGAACAAAGATCTTCATTAAGTTCTTCAGCAAGTGGAGGCAATCTAAAAGTGTTCTCAATAGGACTTCATCTCTATGTTATTCAGAACAGCTATTTTATCTTTTTTTTTTCTTTGATGGTGGTAGATATTGGTAGGTTTTGCAAATGTTAAGGTATAAAAAGTATCCTCTATTATAGCAGGTTGAATTTTCTTACAAAATTATATACCATATATATATTCTTAAAGAAGTATTCCCATTCTTAGATTAAGGAGTAGCATACTGTACCGCTTGACTTATCTCATTTGGCTGTACATGATGCTCTTGATGTGCCTTTACTCAAAAAATGACTCCATATAGTGGCCTCACTGGCTTTTCTAGTCTCTGCATGCTGAATCTCAGAAACTCCAAGATCAAATGTGTCAGGTTTGTTCTTTTTTTTTTTTTTTTTCCCCTAGAAATATTACCTATCATCTTAAAATTGGGAAGGGATCTTTTTATGTCACATCAGTAAGAATGATGATTTGTCAATGTTTTTAATGGTACATAAGTCCATATACATCGCAGTGAGTGACATGGTTTAGTGGGCTTGGTGGTGATGGGTTGACAGTTGGACTAGATGGTCTTAGTGGTCTTTTCCAATCTTAATGATTCTAGGTTCAAGAAACCTAGAAAAGGGTGAGAATGCCAAGACGAGTTATAGGTGGCAGGCAACCAAAAATGGTGTTTATTAGACATCCTTTCCATGTGTCACACTGAAACTTAATGTTTCATCGTAACACACCTAATCACACACCCATGTGAAGTACTTTGTTGGACTGACTTCTCACCATGTCATAGGAACAATAATTAAAAAATAGAAATACGAGGAAGTGACTTCAGTGCATCTAACCTTTACATTCATGTCTTCTATTTGCAGGCTTTTTCTAGTTCAGCTTCTGCTTTTCACTTCTATTTTCTCTTTCCACTCTCTCAACTGACTTTGTTCTGATTTTTACCCACTTCTTTTGCCAACTTTCTAACTGTTTTAATTTTGCTCTTGTTTACATTAGAAATACAGATAAAAAAAAAGAAATCTTCTGACCATCTACCCTGTCCTGCTCATGTCAGTTCCTCAACCCAGAACTAAATTTTATCATAATCTGATTTAGGCCTGTGATATAATTTATTTTCTTACTAAAGCTAAGTACGAAGAGTACTGTTCAGTCACACAAATACCATCTGTTGCATTATTGTCAAATCTGGAGCAGGAGAAGCATAAAAACTGTGCTACAATAGATGAGAAAGAACAGTGAAATTACGAAGAGAAGAATACTACAAAAACTTTTCCTCTTCCACCCTTCTTTTCATTCCTGAAAGACAGAAAATACACTAGTATCACCAAAGCCATGTTGAGACTGAAGGTATGTTACCAAACTAGACTGTAATTACTTAGATGCCCAGACAGTCCACATTCTCATCTCTTGCACAAATACAAGAAATACAAAGAGGAATTCTCCAAACTCACGTTATATGTGATCAGCTACATGAGGTTCATGGTGCAATATAAAATATTTTAGCAATAAATGCAACTGGAAAAAAGACTAATTCCAGTCATCCATGCAGACCTCATAAGGAGAATCACATCAGTTTCTTTTTTCTTTAAACCAGTATACATGTCTCTTGAAAAGCTTCAAAGCTCCCTTTTAGTGTTCATACACTTAGGGAAGAAATTAATGAGGTAATGTATTTTTTAACAACAAATGTTCTGATTTTGATCTTCTTTTCAGTGGTGGTTCCACCTATAAACACTTTGACAATGATGCTGACAGTTTTCTGGATTTCCATTTTGAGCTTGACTATCTTGACTATCTCAAATTGTGTAGAGGGCTCCAAATAAACAATTTCCCTCAGACTGACTGACTGAATGAAACAGTTTAAAACAAGGAAGAAGAAAAAAAAAAAAAAGCCAACTCCATTACACTTGCTCTCTTTTGTTTTGATGGAAAGGCCCCTAAAATTTCCTGTTTAAAAATACTGAGGCTCTTGAGAGCAGTGATACAACTTGATAAACAGCTGTAGATATGCCTACATCTCTCAGTGACTATGATTATTCCTGAAGATAACTTGGATTGTTATTTTTTTTCATTGATTAGTTTTTTGTGATGGATGGTATACTCCTGGCAGGGACAAAACAAGATGGGGATTTGAAGATATCAACTATCTTCTCCCTCCTGCCTTGCTCTCAACAATGTAGTAATTACAATGTAATTACAGGAGCATTAATCTAGACAAACCCAGCAAACACCAGATCCTCCAAGCCTAGCAGAGCATCAGATGAGTATGCAGTATAAAACCTATCTGCATGGTTGTCAGCTTTCCATTCTGATAACCAGCTGATCTGGTAAACTGAGGTTATTCTGTCATCCGTATCTTTCTTCTTAAAATGCTTCCCATATCACACTTCTTCAAACCTCCTCCAATTTCTTTGAATTTTGCACAGCAAAGCAGAAGGTCTAAAATAACCCATTCCAGTTTGCCCCAAAACATATATGAATGTCAAAGCTGCTCCCTGTTTGAATGAATCCTTTCTCTGTTGGTCTTTACTACGGCAATAATACATATTCCTCACTGGAACCAGGACTCAGTTGTGCTAGATTCTAAGTTGGTTTTAAGGGAGCCCATAACTGTAATAGCACCAGGAACTAACTTTAAGGGGAAAAAAAATTGAATGTTAATGTCTGGGGAGTGGAAAAGTACTTATACTGATATCTTTTAGATCGTGTTAGGTTTGTGAGATTTTTTTTCCTCTTAAAAAAAATGAAAAAAAAAAAAAAGAAACAAACAAAAAATGAAAATTAAAGTCAACTTCATACTAGAAAAAAAGGCTTTATTTAGTCATCCAAAGGGACTCCTTGCTTGGAATTGTTTATTCAGTTTTAGTTCATTTAATTCAACGCACTGTGTTAAGGGGATGGTTGGTACTTTGTAGTAGGGTGAAAACTTCATATTTTCCCCTAAAGTAGAAATAAAAGAAATAAGCTTCAGCTTAAAGATGGATCTGGGTAGCTTTCTCACTGAGTTTCTTTTCTTCCTTGTACCATACTGGGCTGCAGTCCTAAGGGTCCATCTATTAGGATGAACTTTGAAACAAGCAAAGCGATCTGTGAGCATAGGTTGCTGGTTTAGATCAACTCAAGCCATCTAGACTAAATGAATAGAAGTTTAGCAATTTGGAACCCTGTTTTCCATAGAAGCTGCAAGTCAAGTTTTTCTGTATTTTTGTTTTTCATGAGAGTAATCTCACAGCTATGCAGGAAATGCAAACAGTGCACACTCTGGATACCATTGTGAAAGTGACTTTACCTCATTCAGTACGTTAGATGCTTCAGTAACAGCCACTTCATTAACAGGTGCTTCCAAACACGGAAAATGATTAGCTGTGTGGACATGGCAATTCCAACTTTTTGCAGCCCAAGTTGAAATCTTTGCTACCACAGACCTTCCCTCCCTGGCTGTGCAGTACTGCTCCCCATACTCCTCTTCTTCCCCTCTGTGACAAAGTTTTCTGTGGAAAAACTCCCACTAGCCTTCTTGGTGTGGAAAGCAAAACCACCTGGAGCTGGCAAGTGGGCAAGCCATATCATCTGGTCAGTGGCGGGAAGGGAGCAGGACCTGCGGCAACCTGTGGCCTTCCTTTTGCTGCTGGGCTTTGTTTTGGAGTGAGGGTGGCATCTTCCCAGGGCACAGCACTGCCTGCAGCTGAAGCACAGGTGCACGGGGCAGCCCAGCGCTCCCTGGGGTGTGATGCTGGGTGACCAGGCTGCCTGCCAGGGCCGAGGGCACCCTGAGAAGGCGGTCCAGCTCTGGAGGTGCTCCCTCGGATGCTGGATGATCGGGTGCCTAATGCCCCCCAGAATTCCTTTCCCTGGTCCCACGCAGGGAGAACGGCACAAAACACGAGGTCTCCCTGATGGAGGGACACCTGTCACATCCTGAAGTAGCCATAGCCTCCCGGTTATGTTTGAAGCACCTACCTGCCCTCTCGATTTTTCTAATCGTCGCTGGTACATCGCACTCACCCGCCGTCCGCCAGCATCCTCGGCATCCCGTCCCGCCCCAGGACCGGGCGCTGGCCGCGCCCTGAGGGGCGCTCGTTAGAACACGCCGCGGCGTTCCGACCGGGCGTTCCGACCGAAGCCAGAACGAAGCGCCAGCTGCCCCGCGCCGCACCCCGCGGCCGCCATTTTGCGCGGGGTTCCCCGCGCCCCTCAGCCGCCCCCCGGCGCGGGTCGGAGGGAAGAGGGGGGCCGCCATTTCGCGTGCGGACCCCCGCGCCGCCGCCGCTTACCCCAGCGCTCGCAGCTCCTCGTCCAGATGGGCGCTCGGCTCCCGGCGCTGGGTCATCGTCCCGCCGGGTGACACCGGCTGCCCGCGGCCGCCTCCGCGGGGCGCTGGTAAGTGCGCGGGCGGTGCCTCTGGGCGGATGCCGGCCCCTCAGCGCCTCGGGGCGGACTGCGCGGGCGGGGGCAGCTCGGGGCGGGCTGTTGTACCGCGCTGCGAGTGGGTCGCGCTCGGTTTCCTGAGCTCTTTCACGTCGTAGCTGCGTGGTTGGTGATAACTGATTTCTATGGCGATTGTCATTCTTCTCCGCGTAAATGTTAGAGAGATCCTGCTGACTATCTCTTAGAAACAGCACTAGGAAAGTTGTGTGGAAGTTCGCCAAAAAGATCGTGTGTAACCGGGGTCGGAGCGTTGTTAGATGATGGATGAGAAGTGTCTTACTGTTGGCTGCTGCCTGTCCTTCCAAAGGGTTATAAGATGTGCTGTGTGCCAGACGTTCTTTGTGTTCCCTAATGCTTTGTGGCAGTAAGCATTGTAGCTCTGTCAAATTCTTATTTTCATTAAACTTCTTTGGGGGGGGAAAAAAAAAAAAAAAGGCCATCTTGGGGAATTAAGGGGAGGTACAGTGCTATTTATTTTCCAGTCACACTACAGTTTTCACTGCATACCAGCACTGAAAATAAGTTGTTTCTAGAAGAACTGATATTCAAAGAGGTCAGAAACGTGACTTATTTTCTCATGAATAGTCATTTGAACTAAGATTAGTTTGGAACAGGCTCAAGAAAATCCTCCTGCTCCTGATGCTCTCAGTGTATTGGCTTTACAAGAGCTTTTCTAGCCTCCTGAATGGGAAAAGCTTCACGGATTTTCTGTATCTCAGATCAGCCTATCCCGCTGTTGGAGTTTAGTCTAATCATGCTCTCTCTGGCTGCAGAATGCTCTTCTCTTTTGCTTGACCATTCATATTGTCAGTGAAGCATTCAGCTATAGATGACTTCATAAATTAACTTTTTCTTCCCTTACTCACTCTGCCTGCGTATTTCCCTTCCTCCATCTCTTATTAAAGCCTGTGATCTGATATTCTCTCTGGTAATTTGATCCTGAAATCTATGACTTTCAGTTAAATAGAAGCTTTTGACGTCTTCATGGTTTGCTTATATTTGTTCTTGTTCTTATATTCTGAAAGCTGCTTGATTTGTTTTCAGCAATGCTTCTGCCGAGTCCACTTCAGGTTATCTTGGTTGCCTGTGTTACTAAGAAAGGAGGAAAATGAAAAAGACAAAAAAGAGATGACAAATTCTGAAGAGGGACGAGCCACAACTAAATTTTAGCATTCTAATTATATCACAAATTATCTTAGAATTTCAGCAGTGCAGACCAGAAGGTATTTTCCAGTCCTGCTGCACATTTTGTGCATTGGTGGCTGCGGTGGGAGAGGGTTCCCCTCTCAGTGCAGATGCTTCCTCTTACATTACATCTGGGAGTGCAACATTTCCTCTTCACTTACAGAAAGAAATGAAAGTAGAAATTTAAGTGTTATGCAGCATGGATCTGCCTTCTGTTTAATCAGATCCATGTAAGTTTGTTTTTTCTTACATGCTTTAGCCACAAGGCAGGAAGGCTACATCTTGCCAGCTCACATTTCACAAAAGCCAATAGGCACTACTGTCGGGGTGTAGGTCTCTTCCCAATCACAAAATCTTCATGCATTGCATTTGTGTTGGCCTTGAGTGCTATGCAGAGCAGACCTGTAGGTAGCAGCAGTGCTCCAACACTTGCTGTACAGCCCAGAAAGGAACAGCAGAACAAAGTGTCTGAAAATTAGTATCAAGTTTTATTTTCTGCCTCTTCACACCTTTCAGTGATCATAAAGCAAAAAGTGTGTTGTAATGCAAAAACAATGCTTTGAAGTCTTTTGGAACTGGCTGTCTTCTTATAGGTGAAAAAGAAAGAGGGAAAGCAAAAAACTATCATTTTAATTTCAGGTCATAGAAAGAAAACTACAGCCAGCAAAATGGGAAGGGGAAAACCAATAATGATATTTCTCTTTATATATTTATTCCTTGTCTTCTGTGTCACTCTAGACTATTACAGAATTCCATCATTACATGCAGACTTTAAACTTCACTGACACTTCCCATTGCAGCTGCCAGATCTGACAGACTGCCAGGTGCTTACTGTTAGGACAAGGCATTTTGGGAAGACAAGCCTGTGTTTGGGCAGAAATTGCTGGATCTCTGGGTGAGATTGAATCACCTGGGTCCTGCAGGCCATCAGATCCTGGCTTCACGATGGTTCTTCCAGGTTTTCAAGTTTTCGCAGAGCAACTGCCTAAATAATTTCAATTTATTCAGAATTTAGGCTAGTAAGTCATCATCATCTATTCAGATGTAATTCCGTGCTTGGGCTCCAAGGCATATTAATGTAATAAAAAAGTATTTTTCTAAGGGAACTGAGCAACTAATAAAGTTGATTAAGAGGCATGAGTGCTGCAGAAGTGTAATGAAATAACTCCAGATACTTTACAGAACTTGGCAGGAAAAAAAAGAAAATTCTAATTTTTTTTCCATCTACTCTTTCACCTCACCTAGTAATAATCAGAGCAGACAGCTTTGAGCCACCCAAAAAAATGCTAAAGGAAAATTCATTACAGAAACTGTGTGGAAATCCTTCCAGTGTATTCACACACAGTATGCACACCAAAACCTTCTGCAATTAACTTGGTTGTTCTTAGTTTGGAGTGCTAATTGAAAACAAGTCATACTGTTTGCTTTGCTGGAAGACACTTGATGCACTGAGTATCAACATAGTAATGAGTTTCCTTTACAGAGTTCGAGATGCCTGAGTTATATTTATTTAATGCATTCCCAGTTTCAACACATTTACAAATTATGCCAACTAACCTGACATTATCTATAATATGTTCAGACAGGAAGAGCAGAATAGAGGGAAGAAAGAAGATAAGTTGCCAAGGTTCCTAGGGAAAATGAGATTGAGAAGAATTTGGAGATCACTGTAGCCCTGTCAGGATCAGGACTTATTCTCCAGAACAGGGTGAGAACAACAATCACCCAGGTAGAGCAGATGATTCCAGCAGCCATGTCCTCCCGCATTTCTGCAGATTCCCTCCAAGCTAGAGTGGACATAGCCATGCCATCTGCACATATGCTCACATGGGCAACTCCAGAGATGTTCTGTTAGTCATTCATCTTTTTAAGTCTCTTAGTTCTGCTCTTAATTAAAAACAAAACCAAACAACCTCACATTCACCAGCCTCTTGAAGATGTGACATCTGGAACCACCCCCAGTGAGCATTTCTAACCTCACTACATTTTCTCCTGTTCGATCTGTTCTAGGAAATTCAGCTACCCTTTTAGAAGAAAGTAAGGAAGGATATTTTTCCGATCCGTGAACTTAAACAGGGACATGGAGATCAGTGAAGGAAGTTTCCCCTGACGCTTGCTTTTTTTTTTTTCCTGGTCTTTGCTTGCTGTGTTGATACCAAGAGCAGGAGCATGTATATTTTGAGATGATAGCAAGAGATTAAATGCCGCTAGCTGAACAGCTGTGTTGTTGCACGTGGTTCAGTTTCCACAGATTTAACAGCATAGATAATGACGTGAAGTCTGCATGTTCCCAGTTCCAATTCTACTAGGAAAACCTTCTAGGAACTTTCTCAGTCCACCGTTTGGTGCACATGCACCAGTGCTTGAATCCTTCAACATGTTTTTCAGCTCTCCTCAGAAATGGCTGAAGTCTCTTTAAAGCTTCCCGTGTGAAAGCAGTGTCATTCTCTCTAAGCAGGACTGTGCTACAGCTTTAAAGTCTGGGTTCAAATAGCATAAAAATGTGTGTCTACGCTATCAAACTTGATAGCCCGGTCCCTTTGTGCAGCTACAAATGGATACAGGGATACAGTTTATGTGAAATGCTGAGAGCTGCGTAGAAAGGAGCTCAAATAAAATTGTGCTACAACAGCAGCATTTGAATGTTGTATAATTTTGCCTATTGGGGCATCTGAATAAGCAGATTACCGAGAATCTCGGCCCTTACTTTCTAAGGGTAATGATTGTAATTGTAATGCCTTTTGCTTGCAGGAGAAACAAGGGTTAATTTGCTGCTCACATCTGTGTAATAGACACCCAGAAGGCATCTTGCTGGAGTTATGGATGCCAGGCATTTTCCACAGCCTTGTCAAAAGCTCAGTTCATTGCCAGTTGCTAATTTAAAGCTGCATATGCCCCATGGCAGGACACTTATTTTTTTTCTAGAAAGGGTAAAAACCTAATCTTAGAAAGGATGTAGATGCTTTATGATTAGTGTTTCATGGACCATAATCAGTTTAGCTGGTTTTCAATGCACTGCAAATCCTCAGTACTGATTGCTTCTTCTGTTACCAGCAAATGGCATGAATGACCATTTACACGCCATCAACGGTTTCGTCTTCCACTTTGTGTTGAGGCATTTCAGCTACTCTAAAAACCAACACTTTGTCACATTAGCACCCAGGGGCCAGGTTATAAATAGAGATCCTATTGAGAGCTCAGCCTTACCTGAGGCCCTCTCCATCCGTGAGTGCTGTGAGACGTGGTGCTGCATGTATTCTGCTTGGCATTGCTGAACAGGGAGGAGGCCTGATCTGGTTTTCGCTCACAGACACGAGAACAAGTGTTCTCATGCTTTTGCTGAGCACGAAATCATGCGTAGGTAATGTAGATAGGGCTCTGTGGAAGCAGGATGGTTGGGAGAGGCAGACAGCCGTGCCGTGCTCTCACTCAAGCCTTCAAAACACAACAGCAGTGTCCTGCCATATGCTTAAACTGCAGGTAGGCCCATTTTTTGCAAGTGCATACAGTCAGCCAAGTAGCACAGTAGGTGGTAATAAAAAATCCCGCATGGCCATGCGGCTTTCCCATAGCTATTTATTGTAGCATGGGCTGCAACAGCTGCACTTGGATTCCACGTGACATACATGTTTGTCCTGTGCCAACATAGCAGCCAGCCTGTCAGGGTCTTTTATTTACACTGCGACTTTCATAGCTGCAATCTCACCCCGCTTTGCCTGTTATAATTAGCCCTCAAAAACCAGCGCAGCTAAACTTAACTCCAGTGTTAAAATCCTCAAAGTGATTGGCATAAACAAGTCAGATAGTGAGTGGCTGGGC